ATTTTCAACAAGCCTAGTCTTGCTTACAAGATTAATGACAACAACAACAACAACAAACTGCTATTATTGTCTGCATTTAAATCTTGTGCGATGAAGGCGGGTGGGGCTGGGGGAGGGGGAGCGTTGGGTAAAGGGTACTTGTGTCTGAGTATTAAGATCCGCGCGGTTAGTGATGTCGTCACCTGTGCAGGTCTGAACTTTTTTTTGTCCCTATTAAAAAAAAAAAGTGCCTACTCATACTGAGGATTCGAACCAAAGCTCCACTGTGAGTCGGGAATGGAGAGAGAAGCCAGCGGATGCTACGGAGGTGGAAGTACATCAGTCGATTTACGACAATTCTGGCCCAGATGATCGGGTTATTTATACAGATGGTTCGGTGGGGAGAGGGAAGAAAACTGCCTGGGGGTTCGTAGCGAAAGCCAATGGGAAATGTTTAGTGCAGGACAAAAGTAACAATGTATAAACAACAATATATGTCATGAGAATGGAGGTGGTAGCTGCAAATTTCTTGTGGCTAAAGAACAAGATGCATAAACATGTCGTAAATTTAAAAGACTGAAAGCATGCTGGGAAAGGTGAAGACAGGGATGCATCGAGCAAAGTGGCCAACTTCACTAGGAAAGCCAAGGGTAGTGAGCATACTTTTAATCTTTTGTCCAGGCAATGCCGGTGAGGTGATAAATGAACAGGCAGACATACTGGCTGGGTGGTAAATTGATTCACAACGAGGCGGATTTGGCTGGGGTCCTTTGGGAGAAAGCAATGGAGTCAGCGGCAAAACAAGATTAATATGGCCTGGAGAGAATAAGTCACCTGGGTGTGACCAAAGGGCCCAGCCAGCTCGTGACAGTCAGATGAATGGCAAAATGGACATATAACCAGATTACGACGGGTACACTAAGAATTGGAAGTCTGCGCTGTCTGCTGAAGATAAGGACTGAGCAGGCATGGGAATGCCAGGAGTGCTGTGATGTCAGTTTTTGAATCAACTCGGCTTTTTTTTTAAAAACCTATCTACCTGTACCCGGGCTCTTCTGTTATGTAGATATGCTTTAATCCAATTGTACATTTTCCATTTATTGTATAGTTCTACTGCGACAAGGCGTCCCTCAAGGTGGTGTCCTGTCGCCCACACTTTTCCTCTTATTCATCAACGACCTGGTTGCTGAGATACCAAATGGAATCAAAATGGCCATGTATGCCGACGACCTGGTACTGTGGTGCACCAATGAACATGCAACAATAGCCACAAAAACACTACAGCGGGCTACAAATGCACTTGAGTCCTGGGCCAATAGATGGTGTGTCATCATCAACACAGACAAATGTAGTACCACACTCTTTACCCTCTCCCCAAAGCAAAAAGCGGTCATCATCAAAATAAACGGAATACCCCTAAGAGATGAAAAAGAGCACACATACCTAGGAGTCACATTTGATGATAGGTTGACCTGGAGAAAACATATCAACAAGGCAGCAACCAAAGCCAGGAGGAAGACAGCAATACTAAGAAAACTAAGTGGAACCACAAGGGGCGCCGATGGGAAAATACTCAATAAAGTATACAAGCAGAGCATACTTCCACACTTGGAATATGGGTCAACTGCATGGTGTTCAGCATCTAATACCACATTAAAGGAGTTGGACAAAGTGCAAAATCAAGCGCTCAGAGTCATCACAGGAGTGATGAAATCAACCCCCATATTAGAAATGGAGAAAGCTGGGAAAACACAGGCACTGAGAAAACGCAGAGATACAAAGTTGCAAATACAAGCTGAAAAGTTCCTCAGTATGCCAGATCACCCGATGGAAAATAGATTTAAGAACCTAGCCTTGGGACGGTTAAAAAGAAGCAGCTTTATACACCAAGCAAAAAGAATATGTAGACAAACTCCTGACCTTCCAGAAATTGGTTACCCACTTAAAAGTATTCCGGAACAAACCCCATGGAGAGAAAAATGCAAACAGTAAAAATCCAGACAAATGTGAAAGGGATATTTGACAAGAAAGAGCAAGATAGTGTACAACGCAGAATGGCCTCCCTCAGTTATATTGATGAAGAATACCCACAAGAACAATGGGTCAGAGTCTATACAGATTGGTCCGCAGAAAGTGCAGTTAGAAATGGTGGTGCTGGAGTGTACATCGAATTCCCAGATGGTACTAGGGATAAGTCCAGCGTACCAAACTTGAAGTACTGCCATAACTATGAAGCAGAAACTCAAGCTATCAAGATAGCAACAGAGAAACTGCTAAATACCAATCTTGGTTCACAGTTTGTGGTAATGCTGACAGATGCTAAATCAGTACTTGAAGCACTCCAGTCCAGGACACTACCAGAATTGCAAACACTGCTGACACAACTCAGCCTTCAGCGAAGAGTCGTAATGCAGTGGATACCGTCTCATTGTGCAGTGCCTGGAAATGAGAAAGCTGATCAACTAGCAGGGGAAGGTGCGACAAAAGAGCAGCCGGATGTACCAGTCAGATACCACCAAAAGAAAAGAATAATTAAATCGATCAGGAAACCGGCAGACCCAGCACAAGACGACTATTTTATTATGGACAGACCAGAACAAGTCATTATCCTCCGCATCATAACAGGGCACAACCGATTACGTAACCACATGTACACAAAATGGAAGATAGGTGTATCAGCCATGTGCACCTTTGGAAATGTGCCCCAGACAGCAGAGCATGTACTCCAGGACTGCACCGAATTTGACACATTAAGGCAAACTTTTTGGCCAGAAAGAACAACAGTGGAACGTAAACTCTATGTACCACTGAATGAACTAACAACGACAGTGAAATTTATACAAGAGACAAAACTGCTGATATAGACAACTTATTTCAGGCGAACGAAAGAAAAAGCAGAAGAATCAACTCGGCTCCACTCAACCCAGGCTCCCATAATGGTATATTAACTTAATCTAATTTTCTGTCTAAGAACAACCAACCTTTAGAGGTGCCTGTATGCACAGGCATCTCTCTATGGTGATGAATGCAGTGATCCAGCTGGTGACTCGCGTGAAATTGGCATGAGTCCACCCTGTGGTTAGATACTGAAGTCCTATAGACTCAAAAGGCAAGTCCAGCTCATTGAAGGCAGGGTTCATACAGATGTTTGTGAAGAGTAGGGTTGCCAGGCAGCATAGGTCTGATATGGCCAAACCTGAATAAATGTTCAGGTGGAAATATGAAAATACGCTATCTGTGAATTCAAATATGATTACATTTGAAGATAATTAACAAGTGGGAGCCACCGAAATATAACGGCTACAATTGCCTGCTGGTGGAAAGGTCGTGGGTTCCCTTCAAAATTTTTTTTCAGCCAAGTCGATCTAGCTTTAAACGGGTACATGGTTAAGTCTGGAATATTAAAAACGGATGGCGTGATGCTGACCATATCACCTATCAAGTGCCAATTGTTCTATAAAATAAAGGTCTAGCATTATATGCCCATTACGCACTAAAGCGTCGAAAAGATTCCTTGAATGCACAAGTATTTGCTGCTGCCATTCGTATGTCATACAAAACGTCTATTTTGTGGCATCTCCCAGTAAGCAAATATGCTAGTTAAGCGATCTCTGAGAGACTTATCATTAAGAAGCGTAAAGTTTTTACAACGGATCAACATCATGGCACACGGGTAGTAGCCCATAAGTGCTTCGTTCTTCTTCAAACTCAAGTCTGTCCGAAGAAGCTCAGCTCCGTTATGGCCATGTCTAGCAAGGATCTTGAAACACTATGAGTAGATTTTAAAATCTGATTTTTGCCCTAGCAGAGGTGTTAATCTACTCTTTCTGATTTCCAACTGCCTACGGAATTTTTTCGTGCGCAACAATGCACACGGGCTTCCGATCTCACAACCCAGAGACCAGGGGACATTACTAGAAGCACACGTCCACGTAAAACAATCCCAACCATAAATAGGGATTGAACCCGGAACTTCAGACGGACACCATGGCTCGAGACCACACAGCCCCCTATATTTATATAAAACACCACGCAGTGGGGCAAGGCTATACGCAGTGAAGAAACACTCGATGCGGGATATGGTCAACATCCCGCCGATGGCAGTCTTTACTTCCCAAGATTTAAAAGTAAAAGAAAAAAAATTGTGTCTGGGTAAAAACAAAAACGTGGATAAATGATTAGGAAGAGCAGCAGAAGCAGAGGACAAAGAGGAGGAAGAAGAGTAAGATCAAAGAGAAGAAGAAAAAAAAAAAGAAGAAGAAGAAGAAGAAGAAGAAGAAGAAGAAGAAGAAGAAGAAGAAGAAGAAAAAGAGAAGAAGAAGAAGAAGAAGAAGAAGAAGAAGAAGGAAAATAGGAAGTAGAAGAAGAGGAAGAAGAAGATAAAAAGAAGAAGAAGAAGAAGAGGAAGAGGAAGAAGACTAAGAAGAAGATAAAAAGAAGAAGAAGAAGAAGAAGAAGACGATGAAGTTGAAGAAGAAGAAGAAGAAGAAGAAGAAGAAGAAGAAGAAGAAGAAGAAGAAGAAGAAGAAGAAGAAGAAGAAGAAGAAGAAGAAGAAGAAGAAGCAGACTAAGAAGAAGAAAAAAAGAAGAAGCAGAAAAAGAAGAAGAAGAAGAAGAAGAAGAAGAGGAAGAAGAAGAAGAAGAAGAAGAAGAAAAAAGAAGAAGAAAAAGAAGAAGAAGAAGAAGAAGAAGAGATTAGGTAGAATAAACAGAATAGGAAAAATAATAATAATAATAATCATAATAATAATAATATAAAGAAGGAGAAGAAGAAGAAGAAGAAGAAAAAGAAGAAGAAGAAGAAGAGGAAGAAGACGAAGAAGAATAAGAAGAGGAGGACGAGGAAGAAGATAACACATTGGAAGAAGAAGAGGATGATAATGTTGATTATGACGCCGAAAAAGATGAACAAGAGTAAACAGAGCTAGAAGAATAACAAGATGGTGAAGAAGAAAATTAATGAGCACAAAGAGAAAAGTACAATAATTGGGCATGCTTCAATCTGGTACTAGACAACACACCTAGCAAGCTGACGTTGACTGACTCCTTGAAGCCTAGCTTGATGAAACAGATGATGTTCATGATATTGGTCACAGTGCCAAAGATGTCAATGAGTTCACAGACTATAGAGTAACCGATCCACTGAAACAACTTTCTGGCATCATCGCTAACTAGGTTATCAGACAACAGTTCCCCGATCAAAGAAGCATTCGGTAACATAGAAACAGAAGCCAATGAAGTTCTTTCTGTCTGCATTTCTGTTGATATTCCAACAAACAAAGAGATTCAGTCCTAGTGTCAGCTTACCTCAGTCTCTTAAAGGACCATTTTCCACGCTTTCAGGCGTGCTTAGGACATACAGAGATAGACGTATATTTTATAGACCAATCGGTATCAGCCGCGAAACCACCAGGTGTCACTCACTGCTCTTAGAGAAAGAGATGATTATTAATTACAATGTTCTAAGACCAAAGTGTTACATAGAGAGTGTCGGCGATTTTTTCCTTTTTTGCTATTTCCGCATTTTGAACAATAAATACAAGTTTGGCCATCTGACAACAATCAGCTGCTTCTTCCACAGAGAGTGAAATTAAATATATATACAGAATGTGATGAATACCACGCAATGGATGGAACAACATAATCGAGAATTAGAAATGAAGATAGACCTATTCATCATCAGAGAGAAGATCCAAGCATCTTACTGAAACGTTGATTGAATTGCTGTCCTTATTTGCTCGGGGCTGCAGCTTACGCTAGGATGGTGCAGCAAAATGGGTGCCCTGGTTATAGCCTCTTAAGAAGTTTAACGGAGTATCTGGGATCTAACCAGTTGGTTGGTCTGTTGTGCAGACTGAAATTTGTATCTATTTCAGGCAGGTACACTATCGTATTTTTGCTTTGCTGTAGATCGAATCGTTAACTAGAGAAAGACAAAGAAGTATTAGGGGGCGGCGTGGTCTCGAGACATGGTGTTCGCCTTAAGTGCCAGAGGTTAAGGGTTCAATCCCTGGTTAGGGCTGAGATTTTTTTCACGCGTACTTGGACCAAGTAATTGCTCCCTTGTCTCTGGGTAGTGAGATCAAGTGCCCGTGTGCATTGTTGCGCACGAAAAAAAAATATTTTTGAAAGTTGGAAATCAAAAAGAGTAGCATAACGACGCTGCCCAGGCACAATTTGGATTTGAAAATCTTCTCAAAGTATTTATGGATCCTGGTCGGTGCTACAAAGCCAGCACACTGTGCTAAGCTTCTTCGGATCAGACTTGAGTTAGAATACGAACGGAGCAATATAGGTTAATATACATGTAATAGCATATTCATTCCAACATTAAGCTACGAGTGCCAAACATGGACACTATCTAAAGACCATATACGCCAAATCACCACCTGGTAGATGAAGTGCCTGAGAAAAGCAGCCAACCTAACCATCCGAGATCGAGAGAATAATGAAACCATTAGGAAAATTGTGGGAGCTACACCTTGTACGAGATTCATCAAGAAACAGAAAATTAAGTGGTTTGACCATCTTGTTAGAATGCCGCAAGATCAAATACCATCACAAGCACTACATTTCAGAAGATCAGCTACAAGAGCAAGAGGACGGCCGCGGAAAACATGGATCGACAACATTAAAGACACTCTACGCCTTTACGGCATGACAATAGCCAGTGGCAGCCAACGTGCACTGGATAGCAAATTATTCCTCCCCACGCCGCTTAATGGCAGAAATGGTTTATGATGATGATGCTGATGACACGTGTGCCATAATGTTGATCAGTTGTTCAAAACCCCAATAAAGAATTATGTGCAAGCTGACACTATAGGTGAGATAGTTTGATGTGCATTAAGAGCCGTTTCTCTATTCATAAAATTTATATCTAGTGACAATTGAATGCCAAACATGCATCTAGGGAACATTACCAACCCAAACCAAATCCCTGCTGTATGTGTGTATGTAGTGTGTTCAGTAATGATCACAAAACATTCTAAGATAGGGCAGTGAACATAGTCACCATAGATGTTGTCTTTAGAAACTACATCCTTGACATGTGTCCTTGCCATCTGACCCTTATGGCATTAGGGAAACAACAGATGTAGTAGATAAAATATGTATCCAGTTAGTGCGACTCTATGAAGCAGAGGTTAGTAAATAAGTTATTCATAAATTCGGTTTAATTAACGTAGTAGGTTTGGTTCGACTTTTTCGGTGGACGGTTTATTCACACAGTTTAATGATCTACGGACAATTGTGGGCACAACTCGAGTTCTGATACAAGAGCATGTGCAGAAGTGAATGAACTACCCGGACCTTCCGCTAGAGTTTCCAGTTGATCGAAAAAAAAAAAAAATAAGAAGGCATGCTGAAGAAGATAAAGATGAAGCTGATCTAAAGAATTGAAATATAGAAAATAATCCTTGTGGTATAGAAATGAATCCTTTGTTAGGATCGGCTAGATAGATGAACCAGAGGTGTCAGTATGGTACAAGAGAAGATATTCAACAACTTAGCAACCGTTTTAAAATATAACAAGAACTCAGTTTGTTATGATCACTCAGTTTGTTATGATATGATCTGACAGAGATAAATAGAGAATCGTTATCGCCAAAGCTTGTTCAATGCCTGGCATTTGAAGAAGAGGGAGACTAAATCACTAAATTGACTTTGCCAATTTGTTTTCTTAGCTTTATAAAGAATAATCATTACAAATGCACGTTGTCTTCTTCTTCTCCTCGCTCTCCGCCTCCTTCTGTCTTTTATCCCACACTACAGCAAAAGCTCTTCACTAAAACATACCAAGTTGTCCTGTCCTTTGCTATTGCATGCAGTCTATCACTTGCCCCCTTGTCTTTTTATGTAATTTCATTCTCTGGGTATCTTCTCCATGCATTTCTCGGTCTCCCTCTATTTCTATGCCACAGTGGGTTCCAGGGCAACGACATTCTTGTTATATTGTACTCAGGTCTTTTTAATTTGTGTCCTATCAACCGCCATTGTCCTTTCTCTTTCTCAATTCACTGGAATTTGTTTAGTTCTATTTAGCTCAACATGACTGGTTCTATCACATCGGGTCGCTCCAATTAATGAATAGAACATAGCTCACTTCTCGATAACATTATAGTTGGACTCAATGGTATAAAGGTTAGTGAGGGTGTTTTACAATCTCGTGATCATATAGTATTAGGGTTCAGTTGTCTGTGTATACCATTTTTGCGGTGTAGGTTGTGAAAGGAGATTTCTTTGAATCGTAGGATATAGAGCCGCATGGCGAGTGCAGTTGCCACAAACTATGCAGGTTATGATATTAGTGTTGCCCCCAACATCTGTGATCTTAGCGAACTTTGAAACTTGAGCCTTGAGTTAAAAAAACAACAACAACCCTTTACTGTGGATATAAGACGGTGGTACGAGAGTGGCACCGTGGAATAGATAAAGATATCATCGTTTAATATTTTGGAAGGCACTAGGGTTAGAATATTTGCCAACCCTTAATGTGGAGATGACAGAAACTAAATTTAAAACAAATGAAGCTTATGTTTGATTTTTGTTTAAAAATATAATGGGAAGCTTAAATTAATGATTATAGTTAGAAAGAATATCAGTGCTTGTGAGCAACTACTTCTATTTAATCACATCTTTCTTATGTGAATTGCCTTCGTTACCTATAGATGACAGATTTGATTCCCGGCATAGTAACTACAGCTTTCGATTTGTGTATTGTCTTGTGTGTCCTCTACTCTCTCTTATTTTTTTCTATGAATGCCGATCAGTTCTTGAATATTTGTTTATTATATCTATGGTCTTGGAGCTTTTCAGTCCTGTTTATTTATGTGCATACCATTTTTGCAATGTATTAAACGAACCCGGTTATGTTTTACTTAACATCCTAGTCGTGCCTCGTCGGATCACATGGTGTCATAGCTTCTAAGTCAACCTAGCCTAGAAATGCTACCTGATGATATACTTGGAGGTAAAGGCGGCCGTCGTGATGTGTGTTTCTCTGACATTAGTACGTCTAGAAGCCAGTTTCGATGCAGTAAGAATCTAGTTTACAAACAATTTAACCCACTTCACATACATTTAAACGTATTTGGGATAACTACTTGAATAACAATAATGGATTCAAAGTCTTACCAAGTCGTTAGAAAGAATGCCAATGGATTATATTCACGTTGTAATAACACATTAAAACATTGATTTATTGTAACGAAACAGTATGGCCACGAAGTCAAATTCAGTCTTAGAAAAAAATTACTTGAAAGTTAATATTAACATATGATTGGGTATGATTATTTTTAATAACTACAATGAATACACAATTGACACTGGTTGTGAAACTGTGTTTTAAATCACAGTACACAACCATTCTCATAGTTATTATAGATCTCTGCAGTCCTATCTGTGGTGAACAGATGTTTTTACCGATATGTTGTACACATGAATCTATAGTTCCTTCTCTGTAATTTTAGTTTTATGGAAGATGCTGCCTTATTCTAATGTCATTGTTGCCACTAATAACCATGTCATGACAAAATGTGACTGCTGTAATGAAGGAGTGTTTCTCTGTGTAATATTTACATCTTTCGATCCGGGCGATAAAGAAAAACAAAACATAAAACCTAAAATGCTTGTTTAGACCTAGTCCCGAAACATGTTTATCACAATACTAGCGATTAAGTAGTTTCAATGCATAACTTATTATTACATCGTGCAGACTAAACATACCAAATTAGTTTGAAGTTTGAAGTACGGATCGACATCTTGGCACACGGGTAGTAACCTATAAGTGCTCCGTACTTCTTCTTAGTTTGATTCCAAAGAAGCTCAGCACAATGCACAGGCTCTCATCAGTCTGAGTCCGAAGAAGCTCAGCACAGTGCACTGAGTCAGAAGAAGCTCAGCACAGTACACTGAGTCAGAACAAGCTCTGTAACACAGGCGTGTATCCCGAAATACTTTAGATAAATTTTTGAATTTCAAATTTTGCTCAGGCAGCGCCGTGAGGCTACTCTTTTCTATTTCCAACTGCCAAGAGATTTTGTGTATGCGCAAATATGCACACCGGCGTCAGATCTCACTACAGAGAGACCAGGGGGAATTACCAGAAGTCCAAGTCCGCGTGAAAAAATCCCAGCACTTACAAGAGATTGAACACGGAACCTCTTGGGGCGGACACTAGGCCTTGAGATCAGGCTGTGTCGATCTAGCAGCCAATGCAATTTTTTTATGGAAAGAAAATCAGACTTGATGCTGAT